CTCTGTAAAACTTCATTAATATAAATTAAAAATGTAATAAATTTTTTAAATCTATCTATCTATCTACACACACACAAAAGAATATGATTTTTTTTTTAATTTGACCTTTGGCATCTTTTAAATCTCATCTTTTCTCTTCTCCTTCAGCTCAACATCTGAAGGAGCACATAAAAAGCCTGGGGACTCCCTCCTGCAACATCAGCAGCTCAAACCATGCCCCAGCCTCCAGAGAAAGCTTGAACATGTAAGTAATAAACCTTTTCATACTTTTATGATGTGTGTGTAGAAAACACTGGTAGCTCAGTGGTACTCAACTGTTAACCTAAACATGGAAGTCTCAAATTCACCAGCCACCCTGAGAAAGTTGAGATAATCTTCCACAAACACTCACAGCCTTCTAAGGCTTGGGCAGCTCTGCTCTTACAGGGTCCCTACGACTCTGAAACAACTCAGTAACAATAGATTGGGTTTGGGTTTAAATGTGAGTGCCTGGCATCATAAGTCTTGATATCTGAATCAATGTGGGGTGGGGGTCGTTGGGGATAAGATAAGTACATCAACTTCCGCAATGTGTTTACTATAACAATTTAACTCAAGGGGAGAAATTAATGAAGAACAAAAGGTAGAAATTTCAAGTAAATAAAAAGGCTCTATTCAACACTTTAGTGTTAACATTGAATGAGCGTGCGATAGTATAACGATCACATAACTAATTGAAATCCAATAGTGTGGGTGATCACAGACCGCAAAGCTGAGAGAAGGATAGAATCACTATGGACAAAGTTACTCCAATTAATTTATTTCAGTCATTTATGAGTGAGGCAATATTCTATTTAAAGGGAAATTTGTCTAGAAACACAACCAGCACTACTCTGACCAAAAGGAGGACGTTTTGGGGTTTGTTTTGTCTTCTTTTTTTTTTTCCTGATCATTCCCCAGACCCCCTCAGGATACAGCTGGAAAACATTGACCAAGATAGTCTTTAAGCTCTCCTTCAAGTTCTGAGTAATTAAAGACTGATCTCAAAAATAAATTAATAATGATGGCTTTAATGAGATAAGATAAATAGTGAGTATAAAGCTGTGCTTCCGACACAAAGGCAGGCAGTTCAAATCCAGCAGCTGCTCCCCAGGAGAAAGAATAATCTTCTCCCATGTGGTTTAAAGCCACTGAAAACCTGATGGAGGGTCAGCTATGAGTTGGCTCAAACTGAGCGGCAATGAGATTGAGGAGGATATGCAATTCATGCAACTACGGTTCATGATCAGTATAACTCAGAACCGTGCCTGTAATCATACTCACACTTCGTTATTTGCCAAAGAGTAACAAAGTTTTGGCTCACTCAGTGCCCCTATGTCAGTTCTGACTTACGGTGACCGTCCATTGGGTTTCTGAGGATGAAAGTAGCAACAAGAGGAGACTACCAATATTTCTCCATTCGCAGCTCTGCAGGAGAAGGATGAGCAATCTCTTCCTGTGCGATTTGACTGCCTCTGAAAACCTACTGGAGGGTCAACTATGGGTCAGTTCCAACTTACACAACAACCACCTCTGCCTTTGACCAGTAATGTGTGTCCTGTGCCGGCTTGTTAATTGAGATACGCAGTGTCTGGTCATCCATTCATTTCAGATAGACCTTCCCTTCACTTATTCCAATACAGCATTCATTAGCTCTCCATTCTTTTCCTGCTCCCCCTACCGACCCTAACCTCTCCCGTCTGTAACCATCCTATTTTTATAAGAGTGGTCTTACACAATGTTTGTCCTTTTGTGGCTGAGTTATTTCACTCAGCATAGTGTTCTCTAGACTCATCCATGTTGTGTAGAGTTTCATGAGTTCTTTATTGTTCTACAGTACTGTCTGTGCTATACACCATTGTGAGGATACACCAAAGTTTCTCTATCCATTCATTTGTTGATGGACATTTGAGTTGTTTCCATCTCTTTGAAATTGTGCGTAATTAAATACCCTGAAAGAATAAGTTCGTGGTTTGGGAGGGTCTAAGGACCATACTCTTGTGCGACATCAAAACCAATTGGAATAACACAGTCCACAAAGACAATTGTGTATATTCCACTTTGGTGAGTAGCCACTGGAGTCTTCAAAGCTTACAATAGTCATCTAAAAGGCAATTACTGGTTTCTCCAGGGAACCGTGGTGGCTTAGTGGTAAGGAGTTGTGCTGCCAACCCAGAGGCAGGTGGTTCAAATCCACCAGTTGCTTCAAGGGAGAAAGATGGCCATTCTCCTCTCCTGTGATCTACAGCCTCTGACCCACTGGAGGGTCAGCTATGAATGGGTTCTTGACAGCACCTAACAACGCTGTTGTCTCCCTGTCTGGAACAAAGAAGAGGTAAGAAAAGTAAATATATACTGATAGAATTAGTCCAAAAATCGAATAGTCCATGCAAATATCTGCTTTCACAACTCTGAGAGCAGAAGATAACATTGCTGACCACTCTAAGAGGAATAGAAGTAAGAAGCCTGGAATGTGGAACAAAACTTAAAATCATAAGGAAAGCCTAATTGTCTGGTCCATAGAGACTGGTGGAACTCAAAGACTGTGTTCTTTAGTTGACCTTCAAACCTAGAGCAAAGATCACCCTGTAGCTCAACTTGCAGCCAAACCATACACTAAGGCTCTCATGATTTTGAATCACCAGTCATATGAGATCAAAAGATAAAAGGATAAAGCCTAGAAAGCCAAAAGGGGTAGAAGAAGAATTACTGAAATCAGAGCTACAGGGAGCATGTAGAGAAAGTGCAATTACATGTATGTTAGCATTGTAATGTTAAGGAGCTCTGATGGCCTAGTGACAAGAAGCTGTACTACAATCCTGAAGGCCTGTAGTTCAAGTCCACTAGCTGTTCTGCAGAAGAAAGATAGGTAATCTCCTCTCATGCAATTAACTGCCTCTGAAAACCTGCTGGAAGCTTCCAGTGGTCCTTGATGCTGCTCCTGTTTGTTCATGGAGCTGCTAGTGGAGGTCAGAGGAGTGAGGCACTCCTCCCCTGGCCTACTAAAAATGCTATTTGCTCATTTCCTTGATCTTTTATTTCTTATAATATTGCAAAAAGAGATGAATCCTTGGTGCCACTGAAAATCACAGGTTGAGGATATTAAAGTCTCCATGTGATGCCTCAAAACATTGTTAAGCCAACCATTCCACCTCCCTCCTGCTGCTTTTATGTGAGTAAAGTATTTTGTAGTGGAGTCATCACACACTATTTTGGTTCTTTTGCTATAACATTTCATCTACTCGAATTACCAGTGGAAATTACACAAAGAGACACTCACCCTTGGTTTTCTTTAATGCCTCCACCAGACATAAGGCCTCCTCTTGAATTCGGTCTTCAATGGTCTTCTTTCCCATCCCCATATTCCGCAGAACCATGAGGGAAAAGCGACGGGTTTGCTTCCATAATTCTCCATTGCTGAACACAACTCCTACAAGGAGAAAAATATCCTCCATTGAAATGGATTCTAGATAGAAGTCCACATCTCCGGAAATGATCCTGACACTCAATCAAGGATATAGCCTTTTTAGAGTCGGAAATTCCCACTGTATCACCTGCTTCCTCTCTTAGAGCTCGTAGTTTTCTAGATTACCAAATTAATTCATTAGTTCCTCTGACCCTCGGAGTAACTGTGAAACAAAACTTCCTGCATAGTCTTTGCTGAAGTGGATGCTAATGATAATTAAGGTAAAATGTTTGTCCATGATCACACAGCTATTAAATCATCGAATTAGATTGAATTTTCAGGGCTGACATTTCTGCACTGCAAGTACCTTTAGGAGAGGTAACAAAAGAAGTCAACTCACAAAAGAAAATGAAAATTTTCTGCATTGGAAGGAGGTTCATGACCACATCATGCTCAGGTAAGGGACACAGTCCTTGAAAGACAGACACTGGGCTCTGATGGCACTAGTCTGTACGGAGTTGTGCTGCTAACCGAGAGATGTTACCTCTCTGGCACTTTATATCCACTTGTGGCCGCATGGGAAAAAGAGGCAATCTCTTCCCATGTGATTTACAGCCTCCAGAGAGCCCACTAGAAGGCTAGTTTAAATTGGTTCCGATTCAACCATAATGAGTTGAGTTGATCTCCTTAACCTCTTCCCTGGATTTGTTTCCATGAAACAATGGTCTAAGTACGAGGGAGTTGAACACCAGACTTACAGAGTAAAAATGTTTTCCAGGAAACATCTTGAAAAGATAAAGCCTTCTCTGCATTAGGACCTCATCGCTCCTTTTAAGAATCCAGGGACCCACTAGAGAACTCAATCTTTCCACACCAAAATTGAAAATGGCTTAAGTGCTTAAGTAGAAGGCTTTTTCTAGTATCAGTTCCAATCCATAATTACTGTGGGGTTTTTTCCATAAATTGTTTTTCAGAGCATAACTGTGCTTCATACTGCAATTAATTGCAAGTTTCTAACGATGTTTTTGTTTTGTTTTCCGCTTTTACTTTTTATGGAGGAAGAAAGAAAGGCTCAGAGACCTTGAAGGGCCTGGGTCACAGTGAAATCTAACAATGTTTTGAAGCAATGAAATCTTGCTAGGGACAGCTGGAAATACTCCAAACCAAGGTTACTTCCACTCTTTTTACACATTTGATGAATAGAAGCGTTTGATCTTTCCTCTGCCTCTCTTTTCCCTTCCTCTTGCCTCTTCTTCTCCTCTCCACTTCCTGTTCTTACCTGTTTTAGTTCTTTTTCTCATTATAACTTCATTTTCTCATTATTTAAATTAACTATAGGCACATAACAACAACAACAACAATAATTTCAAATGGACATGTCTTAATCACAAATTCATAATTCATTTTTAGGGGGTTTGTTTCACGTCATTGAATGTTTCCTGGACACATGACACTTTCATAGATTTCAAATACAGACTACTGATTCTTTATAGACAAAATTTTTCGTAGGCTTATGTTGTTGTTGTTGTTGATTGCCTTCAAGTCGAACATGACTCATAGTGACCCTATGAACAAAAGATCTTTATCAAAGTTCATAGAGTTTCCAGAGGCAAGTTGTTTAGGAAGTGGATGCCACTCCTGCTCCCAATGTTAGAATTGAAAATTATGTTTCATGAACTTCTTGAAATGTTTATTGGTTTTCATTTCATTAGCCCACCTGGAGCTTTTGCCAATCACCAGCTCACACTCATTCCACGTACCTAATCCCTGGCTGGTTTTGTGCAGCACTGGGAACTCTCCTCTGCCAGAAAACTCCTCTCCTCTGTCAATCAGGGCTTCCTTTATTGCTTCATATCCATGCAATATCACAGTGGGTTTTGGACCAAAATGCACAGTGAACACTGGCCCATACTCTTTGGCTAGCTGGAAAATAAAAGGAGATGCAAAACTAGGCAATGTCTAAATCAAAACAGTAGGTGAGAGACATACTTAAAGCACTCAAGAGGCATTTTGATATGTCATCTACCCATTAGAAAATGTTCCAACTTTTATAATCAGTAACTTAATGAGAAAACATATCATCTAAATTATATTTATTATATTGTTATTGCAATTATCATTATTATAAGTTGTTATCCTATAAGCATCTCTTATGAGACAAAGGCTATACAATGCTTATTTTTCAATTTTTTAGCGTGCTGTATTATCTTTGGTTTTGTCCTCTTCATTCACATCACCTAGAAATTATTTCACCCACCGCTCTGTTTTGCAGCCAGTCTCTTAGTTCTCTATACAGTAATGGTGAGATGGCTACCTTTTTCTCAAGGGAAGAGAAATTAATGGCTTCTTGCCTTTGCCAATAACAAAAATATTGAACTATTGTCATTGGCATTTTCACATGAACCATGTCAAAAGAGCCAGGACGTCTCTCTCTGCTAGTGATCACACCAATTCTTCCCAGGTTAGCACCTCCAGTCACTGTGCACAGGGAACCATTGTCTCCAAATCAGTCTGAACAGTGTTATTCATCTTGATGAGAGGAATAGAGCAGTGGATGTTTTGAGCGTCATGATTCACCAGATGAGGGATTCCTTTGGTGCCCACAAAGATCGTTCTTACTTTGCACAACCTATACTTTGCCTCCCTAGGTGAACAGCAAATTAACCCTTGGTGTCATAGATCAGACAGAAATTTCCTCTGGTCTTGTCCATGGTGATCACATCCATAAAACCACCAGGGTAGGTTATATCAGTTTGGATTTTGCTATCAATTTTCATGAACTGCTACATGCATTTCATCTTCTGTCAGGGCATACGTAAGTCTGTTTCTTAAGAAAAAGATCAGTGGCAGACATTCTCTCAGTTTGTGGGGACCAGTAGGTGGATGAGGAGTAAATACACCAGTCAGTTTGTCCAGCGTCTAATGCTTTGGAGCTGCTACACATTTCAGATGCTTCCTGGGACTACAGCATGGCTTTGCTTCACACAGAAAGAGGTATTTTTCTTCTTTTCTTAAAAAAAAAAACACAGCTTCTTCAACCCGATAATTACACCAACTATCTTCTTTCCAGAAGTTATAATAAATGATGTGATTTTCACTCTTTTGGATGGATGTCCTTACATTTCCCCCACATATATTCTAATAATTACCTCTCATTACTCTTTATCTACTTTCACATCATGGTATCAGAGATTTCCCAATGTTAATAAAACATGAGAACCTGGCAACATAACTGCAGATGTTTCCCAGCTTCCTTTGAAGGAAGATACGGCCCTGTGACTAAGTTTCCATGACCCGGATAATGAATGGGATGCTTACAGTGATGCATAAAAGATCATTGATAACTCAGAAAAGAACAATGAGAAGAGTTGCACAACTAAACAATGTAATCAGTGACAAATCTGTGTATTTTCAACTACGTATGTTTTCAATAAGAACCCTACCCTCATCCCTTGCCATTTTCATAATCTCTGGTAAATGAATCTCTTGGTAAAATTCCTGTGTCAATCCATATTATTGAGGGTTGTTGAGAGTCTTCTCTTCTGTTCCCCCTCCACCTTGCCAAGCATGAGGTCTTTCTCCAAGGACTCGTTCCTCCTAATAATATGACCAAACTATGAGATGAAGCTTCACCATTTTTGCCTCTAAGAAGCAAATAAAATATAAAAATAAAAAGGCTTTTTTGCTCTGTAAGTATCAAAGAATATAGATATTATTGTTCAGTAAATATAACAGAAACTTTGAAAACAGAGCCCTTACTTAGTTCTATGACATTAATGTAATGTGCATGTACTTGGGAAATATTTAGTTCTGGAAATATCGGTTTGTTTTGTTTTTCTTCTTTTTATTAAAACCAAGTTCATTCACCTGGTAAGTGGTCAGAATCCACCAGGTGAACCTTAGGAGATAGTAATCTCTCCCAGTAAAGATTTTCAGCTTCAGAAACTCCATAGAAAACACCATGAGTTGGAATTGACTTCACCACAGTAATTTTAGTTTTTTAGTTCTTTGTCATTGTTGTTGTTAAATGCTGTTGAGTCAAATATGACAGAACCATGGATTTGAACCCTGTCCTATCTTGTGACATTCTCATAATTTCTGACACATTTGAGGCATCATCACAGTCACTGTGTCAATCCATCTCATTAAAGATCTTCTTCTCTGTTGCCTACTCTCCACCTTTCCAAGCATGATGTTTCTTTCCAAGAAATATTCTCTCCTAACTACATGACGTAAGTATATAAGACAAAGCCTTGTCATCTTTGCCTCCAAGAAACATTCTGCCTGCACTTTTCCCCAATACATGTGCTTATTCTTTTGGTAGTCCATTTGGAGAGGTCTCTCATAGTGAACTTTCTCAATACAATGTTTCCCGATCTCATGACTGCTGGTACCAAGGGTGTTGATTGTGGATCAAAGGAAGATGAAATCATTAACAATTTCAATCTTTTCTCCATCTATCACAATGTTGCCTATTAGCCCAGTGGTGAGAAGTTTTGGTTTCTTGATGTTGAGACGTAATCCATATAGAAGACTATAGTCTTTGATCTTCTGCAGTAAGGACTTCAAGTCCTCCTCACTTTCAGCATGTGAGGTTGTTGTTATCTGCATAACACTGGTTGTTGATGAGTTTTCCTCTGATCTTGCTACCACATTCTTGTTCAATACTATGAGTGATTAGAATACAGATTGAAAAGGTATGGGGAAAGGAGTCGGCCCTAATGCCAACAATGGTCATGAAGGAAGAAGTTCAAGTTGTATTGAAAGCATCAGCAAAAAAGTAAGGCCCCAGAAACTGATGGGAAACCAATTGCCATGTTTCAACTAACAAATGCAGTCCTAGATGCGCTCATCAGTCTATGCCTGAAAATTTGGAGGATAGCTACATAGCCAACTGATTGGCAGAGATTCATTTTTTCTCTCTCTCTCCATTACCAAGAAAGATAATGTAGGAGAATGTGGAAATTATCAAACAATATCATTAATATCACATACAAGCAAAATATTACTGAAGATCATGCAAAAACAGAAAAAAATACATTGATAGAGAACTGCCAGAAGTTCAAGCTGGATTTGGACTTCTGTTCTCCTAAATGGTAAGGGAATAAATTTCTGTTTGTTAAGGTTGTCTGCTTGTGGTATCTCTGTTCTAGCAGCATTAACTAATTATGAGGGAGTTTTAGTGGCCTAGTGGATAAAGAGCTGCGCTAACCCAAAGGCATTTGGTTCAAATCCACCTGGCTCCATGGGGAAAAGAGGAACAATCTCCTCTCATGTGATCTACAGTCTCTGGAAACCTGCTGAAGGGTCAACTACGAGTTGGTTCTGACTCAATGGCAAAGTTTTAAAAGTAAGACAACTATATTTTATTTTAATAAAATACTCTGTTATTTGCTTACTGTAAACAGTTGGAATAGAATTAATCAAGTTGTACTTACCATGTTAAGTGATTTGTTCATGTCCTTCATATTTATTTGTAGAATATTTCCAATAATTGGGAGAGGAGTGGGGCCTGGTGGAAGCTTCCCTTTGGCACGCCTTTGATTCCATAGAAGACAGAGAATCAAACAAAAGCATATCACAAGGATAGGAAAGAGATCCATTGATGCACTTTGTGTCAATGCAAGTGAAAGTTTAGAAACCAATGATTTTATAAGTTCTAAGTGCTCAAAGGTACGTAACAACAAAGGCAAGTTGATCAAATACATCCTAAGACTTTGAACTTTTGTGTCAATATTGTTTCATCATCAGTACACCTTCCTCAGGTGATAGAAATGAAAACAAACTAAGTCACCTTAGAATTGATTCAGTCCTAAATTTCTGTGGAAATATCAACTAAAAAATAGCATGTATTGCTTCAGAGACAATGACCTTGGAAGGCTCACTCATTTGCTCTTTGCTCTTGGGTCAAAGCTAACTCATAGCTGGCCCTCAAGCAGGTTTCCAAAGGCTATAAATCACACGGAAAGAGATCATCCTTCACACCCATGTTTATCACAGCTTTGCTCACAATAGCAAAGAGTTGGAAACAACCTAAGTTGGATAGAGAAGCTGTGGTATATTCGCACAATGGAATACTACACTGCACAGAAAAACAAGGAACTCATGAAATATTTTTCAAAATGGGTGACCCTGGAGGACATTATGCTGAGTGAAGCATCTCAGTCACAAAAGGACAAATACTGCATAGTGCCACTGTTGTAAAATGAGACTGACATAGAGGTTGGGAGGGGGAAACTGAGAAAGATGGGATAAATTATATATACTGTATTGGAACAGATATGAAAGAGAGAACTGTTTAAAAGAGATATATGATTAGGTATTATTGTCTTGACAGGAGTCCAGAATGAAGGCTGCATAGTGGAGTGGATTTAGGGGAAAGGATTGTATAACAAAGAAAGAATTTTACTTTTCAAGGAGAAGAACAAACAGGAGGGGAGGAGTGGGCAGGGAGAAAAGTGCAACAATGAATGAATGGAAACACAAAATCTCTGTAAATTTTCATTAAATTAATAATAATAATAATAAAAGCAAAAAACATTTTAAAAAGAGATTATCCATCTTTCTCCCTAAAAGCTGCTGGGGATTTGAACACTGCCTTTGGGTGGGCAACGCAACTCCTTACCCACTAAACCACCTAAGTTCCCTAGGGATTATTGACTGTAATGACCATTTTTCAGTAGTAAAATTGACTACTGAAAACAATGACATTTTTAAAGGATTCGTTGTGGCTAATGGCCTTTTCAAATGATGACAAATATTTTGAGTCAAAATCCATATAAGCAGAAAGTCAAAGCACTTCCTTACTCTCTTTTCCTAGAAGTCAGAAAAGAGGCCAGAGTCGGAGTCAAAAAGAGAGATCC